ACTGAACTGACGTGACGGTTCCCAGGTACCCGCATGAAAGACAGTAGACTGCCAAAGCAGCTACTTTACAGTCACCTAAGTAATAATAAACGTAACGCTGGCGGGCAACTGAAAAGATATAAGGATAATCTTGAGGCAAATCTGAAAAAGTGCCAAATCGACCCCTTCACCTGGGAGACGATCACTCTGCACCATAAGGCTTGGAGGAGCACCACAAAGGAAGGTGCCAATACTTTCGAGTTAGAGAGACTGCATACCGAGGCAGACAAGAGCCAACGCCAGAAAGACGCTAACCGCCGCCCCTCCCGCACTAGATGTAGCCCTCCACACATGCAGCATCTGTGGACGTCCCTGCCGGCCCCATATCGGCCTGTTGAGTCACCTCAGAGCTCACCAACGAAGGTGACATCCTTAATAACTCATATCATTGTATCATAGCTGGATGATCGTCATACTCGATTCCGATTGACAGCAAAGTTGTAGTAGTGTGTGTGTGTGTGTGTGTGTGTGTGATCCCTCCACTAGAAGAGAGAGACATTCCTCATCGCTGGAACTGTTGTAAGAAGTAAGTTGAATGACACACAGCAGTTGGGAATGCCGGTGAATTAGTGACCACAGTTACAAATGAATCAGATTTCGACGGACTCTAAATGAGCATGACGGTGTGAGGTATGAGCCGTGATGCCCGACGCTATGGTGATGATTTCTTGGTATGCAATACATTACACTGTGTCATCACGTATTACTACCCACGACCTTCATTTTCTGATGATAAAGTTTCTGTTATTTACTTTATAATTTGTTTCTCGAATATATATGGATACACATAATTTCGTAAAGTAAGATTATAAACCCTGAACAACTTATTATGTGTGTTTACTACAAGCACAAAAGTAATTATATTTTTATTGCCAGGTGAGTGTATCTTGTTTTGTAAATTAAATTAGTATTTCCTCCCACAGGTTTCTGGAGTGGTGTGAGCTGTGGCGACGGCCCGAGGTTCGTGTGGTAGTGGTAGGTGGGACGGAGGGCGTGGAGGACGTCCTCTTACATCACAGTCTCCGCAACACCATCCACACCCTTTACCTCACCTTCCACCACCTCACTTTTCATAGCGGCCAGGGACCATCACCTAACACGAGGCTCAAGAAGGGAAGCACCATGAGGGGTAATGTGGTCATGGTGGGGGAATGAACCTTATTCATTATCACAGTGTTTTTGTTTCCCATTAATTTTAGTGATTCCTTGTTACACATAATGCCCAGGAGTATTCTGCTTTCACACCATTTCGTATTAATATTACGAGATTTTTTTTAAAAACCTAAATACATTTTATTTCTTATAAATCATATCGAATACTTGTTTTGACATAAATATTCTCAATGCCTTTACCATCAGTAAATATATCTTCTCGTCGTTACCTAGCTTTAATGGAAGACAACAGACAACTATTAGTTTATAGGCGGTGTCTGTACTGCAACGGGGGCAAGGCTCAAGTTCGACTTCTATACCGGGGTGACATAACCTCTAAGATACAGCGTGGTATCAACTTCTTTCCAGGTGAGTTGTCTTTAAAGATTAATAGATTTGAAGCAACAGGATCTTTTCACATAGGGCTTTTGGGGAATTAATATAAAACGATGACACGAATCACTCTACAGCAGCAACTACAATAATTTCCAGTAGAAACAGGGTCATGAGTTCGATATCTCTGCTATGGCAATGGTTTGTGGCATGATCTACAAAATATAATGAAAAGCAGAACTCACTTACTATAAACAAATCCCAGAAAAGTAGAATATTAAATGTAAAAATAGAGATCCTCTTTACCTACATATCCCTTCAGCAGATGCTAGATATTCACAAAAGTGTCTTGGGTATATCGTCCTCAAGTGTACATATTTATGGCCAACAATATAACCTTAACATGTTGGTCAAAATGAATGACTGTAACGCTTGATTCTACACCTGGACTTTATAATAGGATTGACAGAATGTTCTGCTTCAAAGATATGATGAGTGAGGCAGCACGAGGATAAAAGCCTCCAACTTGAACTTACAGACTTATTATAAGCGTAGTGAAAACTCGTCGAGGAGAAACTAACCAGGTTGTAATAAAGTGATGAGCGTGAGTAGTAATATTTTACAAATAGCTAGAAACGAGTAAAGGCATCTGGACAATAAATACCAATAATTAATCTAAGATGACAGTACTAGGAGATATTGCTTGTATATTCACTACTATAGTGGCACAAAATGATCTATCCAAAGTCAAGAATGTATAATTTGATTCAGAATTGTTGGCATTAAAGAAATCTGATATAGTCGACGAACATCCCTTCGCATATGCAGTATTTTCAGAACAAATGGACAACTTTATGGGCCAGACATTCCGGGTGGTGGTGATGCCTTATCCGGTTGTCATTGAATACGAGAAGGGCAAAGAGCCAGGCACTCCAGTGGCTCCTCAGGATTCCTTCACCACGCGAATGCTCGAGACCATCGCCAAACAACTCAATTTCAAGTAGGTATGATTTTATGCCCTCACTTACGTGCTAACAATATTCATACACATAATTCCCAAAAAACTAAAAAAAAATTTTTTAACTCTAAGTAACACAAACCTCACCATGCAGCAACAATTATCGAAAAAAGTACTATACCAGCCTCAGTAGTTCAATCACTGCACTTCCTAAGCCTCTCATCATTCAGCATCTGATGGAGACCGACATCCAGTGTTGCTATAGGAGTTGTGTCTCTGATCACAAGGATAATTGATTCTAATTCTTACCAGCTCCCAGGTGGATGAGACTTTCCCTAACCTTGTGGGCAGTCCATTAATGTTGCTGATTTGCAAAGTAACTATTATTTGGTCCTCTCTAAAGTAAAACATGCCCATCAGTTGACTTAGTTAATTCTAATTCATATTACCTGGCGCCAAATATTGAACTGAACCTCACAGGACATTAACCCAGAAATCAGATGTCTGACATATATTTTGGTAACTCAAGGGATGCTCACTTTTTTTCGCCAGATGACGCTTTGGATACCAAAAGCTCTGCATTCTCTGAGCAATAGAGGGTTCTCTTACATCAGTGTCTTGAGCCGATCTCCAGCTAATAATGCGAGTCACTGTTGCCTTCACTGCTCTATTAGATATTCCGTAAATTTACGTTCTGCTCACAATGTGTTTCGTAGTGAAAGAGGGTTATGAACAGTTTGACCATAAATTACTTTACCCTTTCGGTGTAGAACAATATGGTAAACTGGCGAGAAAAAAAAACGTACGAAGCTCTCGCATGTGGCTTCATATTGGTACCCTGCTACATGACCTACCTACCTGGTACCCTGCTACCTGACCCAGCTTACAGAAGGATGTGCCCCTAAGTGCTCGTGTTAGTGACCATAGGAAATGGCCGCCGTGGATCATTGTGTTGTGGGGGAAAAGAGACGGTGTTTGGGGAAAGACGACCCCCTGGCCACTCTGTTAAATCACCCGCGGCAGTTGAGGAACATAAGAACATACATAAGAAAATAAGGAGTCTGCAATTGGCCGGTTGGCCTGTGCATGGCAGCTCCTGTCGAGAGTTACTACCACTCTCTATCATCCATGAATCTATCCAGCCTCCTTTTGAAACTTTCCAGCGTTCCAGCACTTACTACAAAGTTGCTAAGCTTGTTCCACTCGTCTACCACCCAATTTGTAAACCAGTTCCTTCCTATCTCCCTCCTAAACCTAAACTTATCCAACTTAAATCCGTTGCCCCGAGTCCTATCCTGCTCGGATATTATAAGAACTTTATCTATATCACCTTTATTGATTCCTTTCACCCACTTAAATACTTCTATCATATCTCCCCGCACTCTTCGTCTTTCTAGGGAATGCAAGTTTAGTTTCTTTAACCTATCCTGATATGGAAGGTTTCTAAGTCCCGGAATCATTTTCGTCATTCTTCGTTGCACCGACTCTAGTGAATTTATGTCCATTCTATAATAAGGGCACCAGAACTGAACCGCATAATCGAGGTGCGGCCTGACTAGCGCAAGATAAAGTTGCAATAAGACCTCTGCACTCTTATTACTTACACTTCTAGATATAAAACCCAATACTCTGTTTGCCTTATTTCGAACATGAACGCACTGTTTTCTAGGCCGTAGGTCTGGGCTTACATGTACCCCAAGGTCTCTTTCACAAGTCGACTTCTCTAGGTTGATGTTGTTAAGGCTGTATACATTGACAGTATTTGTTCTTCCAATATTAAGTACGCTGCACCTGCTGGTGTTGAATTTCATTTGCCATTTTTCAGACCACCCCTGCAGTTTATTTAGATCCTCCTTTAATGCATTTACATCCTGCCCTGAATTAATCTGCCGCCTTATTTTGGTGTCATCCGCAAACTTGACTAAGTTGGGTTTCTTTAGTCACTAATGTTTCGAAAAATCATTTTCCATCATCAGAACCGAGGAAACAAAAAGTTTTAAAAAGTTAAAAACAATTACAGGTGATATACAATAAAAACGGAATCTCATACCAAAATTTACTTTCCGTAAAATTAAAAAAAAGAGCATTATAATGTAAAACCGATGAAAATGACGAGAGACCTACGTACAAAGCTAAAATCAGAAAAAAAATATACAGGGGGTATTATCTAATTTAGAAGAGCCTTAGTGTGAAAAACACAACAATTCACAGGAAGCCATATCACAAATGGATGGCTTTTCCTTATACTGATGCAAGGCTTCCATAATGAGGAGGTCCGTCTCACAGTTGCTCCTGCCGAGAACTGAGAAATCGGACGGCGAAAACGGGTGGTCATGTTGGTGGGCGTGGTTACGGATAGCTGAATGTGGTGGTTGTGTGATTAACTGGCCTGTTCGGACGGAACGGCCCAAGTGTTCATGGATGCGAGTTATCAAATGTCTTTTAGTTTTACCTATATATGCTGCCCTACAGCTAGCACACGTAAATTGATAAACAACTGAGGATTGCAAGTGTGTGGGTATGGTGTCTTTAATTTAAAGATTATTTTAATTGAACTCTGGGTTTTAAATATTAGTTCTAAGAGAAATTTTTGGATATAATTAATTGAAAAGCTTCTTAAGTTTATTTCTAAGGGTGAAACTGAGTAGGTCTGTGTACGGGATGGTGAAATAGACAGAATATTTAGGGACAGTATGGATTTGAGGCTGTGTGGGACTTAAAAACCTATTAAGGGTTTTGCCAATATAAGTGTCTGTAAATCTCTTAGGGAAGCCATTATTAAAGAGTAGTTCCTTTATGTATTTTAGTTCAATGTCCAAGTGGAAATAGCTTGAACATATATTAAACGCTCTGTTGGTAAGAGTACTTACTAGATTACGTTTGTAATTAAGAGGAATAAAAGATGAAAATTTTGAACTCAAACCAGTGAAATTTGGTTTTCTGTATAAGGCTGTCTCGAAATTATTATGAAGACGGTGGATATTAACATCAAAGAATGGAAGAATATTTTCCTTTTCCAATTCACAAGTAAATTTGATGTTCCCATGTTTCGAATTTAAGTAATTTAGGAACATAGGGACGTGATCAAGTGATCTGAAAATTAAAAAAGTGTCATCAACATACCGACGATAGAACAAAGGCTTAAACTGGGGGGGGACATTCGGTAAGCCAAAGCTTCTCGTGGTGACAGAGGAAAGCGTTGGCCAACGTGGGACCTAAAGGTGAACCCATAGCTTTGTTATTAAATAAAACCAAACAATCATTTACAGCCAGTTTTAAAAATTCTTTAAATTATGGTCCATTGAATCCATCAATTATATCAGTATATGAGAACAGTTCATCTGTACAATAGTTTCGGTAAGAGGGATATTGGTAAATAGAGACTGTATATCAAAGCTAGCCATAACACAGTTGTTGAATGAGTTAGTTCCTTAACAAAACTTAAAGAGTCTTTAACAGAGTATTGATTATAGGTGATTGGTGACAATATGGGAACGAGGAATTTAGACAGATTATAGTTGAAGGTGCCAAGGGCAGACAATATAGGGCGTAAGGGACACTCATCCTTGTGTACCTTTGGTAGACCGTACAGGATACCTGGTTTAGATACGCTAACAAAGAGTTTTAAAAAGGAGGAGTTATTAATGACGTTATTTTTTCTAAGTTTACGAAGAAATCTGTTAATCTTGTCCTCATACTTAAGAATTACCCTGACTAAGTCGTCTAGAATGGGGGCAAATTTAGTTCGGTCGTTAAGTTTCACCCTTAGAAATAAACTTAAGAAGCTTTTCAATAAATTCTATCCATAAATTTCTCTTAGACTAATCCTTAAAACCCAGAGTTCAATTAAAGAATTCTTTAAAATTAAAGACACCATACCCACACACCTGCAATCCTCAGTTGTTTATCAATTTACGTGTGCTAGCTGTAGGGCAGCATATATAGGTAAAACTAAAAGACATTTGATAACTCGCATCCATGAACACTTGGGCCGTTCCGTCCGAACAGGTCAGTTAATCACACAACCACCACATTCAGCTATCCTTAACCACGCCCACCAACATGACCACCCGTTTTCGCCGTCCGATTTCTCAGTTCTTGGCAGGAGCAACTGTGAGACGGGCCTCCTCATTATGGAAGCCTTGCATCAGTATAAGGAAAAGCCATCCATTTGTGATATGGCTTCCTGTGAATTGTTGTGTTTTTCACACTAAAGCTCGTCTAAATTAAGGTAATACCCCCTGTATATTTTTTCTTACTTTTTTATTCCTGATTTTAACTTTGTACGTAGGTCTCTCGTCATTTTTGTCGATTTTAAATGGGATTGCTCTTTCTTTTTTTTTTTATTGAAGGTAAATTTTCGTATAATGTTGTTTTTATTGTATATCACCTGTATTTTAAAACTTTTTTTTTAGGCTCTGATGATGGAAAATGATTTTTCCGAAACGCTATTGATTAAAAGAAACCCAACTTAGTCAAAATGATTGTGTTTTCCCTGGTTCTCCTCTTCGTTATATATATATATATATATATATATATATATATATATATATATATATATATATATATATATATATATATATATATATATATATATATATATATATATGGATAAGTTCAATATATATTTGGCGCCACATAACACTTCCCCCCTTAAGATAAAACAAGGGTGTTTAATTTTCAGTCTTGTGCACGAGATAGAGCATCTGCTATGAGGCTTTCTTTGCCTTTAATACGTTTGATCTCAAAATTATATGGCTGCAGAGTTAAACACCATCTAGCAAGTCTCTGTTTTCCATACAAGTCATGAACTGCAATAGCTTATGATCACTTTAAATTACTATTTTCTGGTTGGTGTTACCAAGATATATATTAAGCTTTTCCAGTGCCTTAAGTAGAGTCAAAGCTTCTTTCTCTACAGTAGAGTAATTCCGTTGATGAGGTTTAAACTTTAGCATATTAGAAGCAAAACTTCACTGTCATCCTCCTTTACCAGACTTGCACCTTCTATGAGCTCTACATCATGAGTGACTATTGGACTG